TTGGTTGGGTGATGATGCATGGAGGGGATTGTAACCATGGCAATGATATGATGTACAGTAGAATGAATGTAAAACTAATGTTCTCCCATGTAAACTATCATATAATTCACAATGAAACACTAAAAAAAAAAAAAAGTAAGTGAAGGCTTTATAGATATGGGAGCAGGCTGACTCTGTAGGATAAGCACCATTCTGAGAACCACAATGTCAGTGGTTTGAGCCCACCAGCTAGCTGACCCACAGGAGAAAAGATGAGGCTTTCTGCTCCCTCAAAGAATTAGAGCCTTTACAACCCAATACAGGGTTGCTACGGGTTGGAACCAACATGACAGCTCTTAACAACAACATTGAGGATATAATCACGAAGCTTCTTTTCTCCTTTTTTTGGTTGTGTTTCTTGTATCTCTAGTTTGCCCTGTCTGAAAAAAAAATGTTGATGTTAAGTGTTGTTGAATTGGTTCCGACCCATGGTGACCCTATATAGGGTTTCCAAGGAGCAGCTGGTGAACTTGAACCGCCGACCTTGCAGTCCAGTGCTATACCACAAATGTATTTGCCACTGCACAGGCAGGAATTATTTAATGATGTAGGAAATACATCTTATTCTCACAGATCATGAGAATGATACTTTGGCAAATGTAAAGTTTTCTTTAATATTTACGTTTATATTTTTCTTTGTGAAATACAAATTTGGGGGTAGGATTAACTGACAAGCCAACTTTCTCTCAGTTGCTTGAATGTCTAGGTTGAAGGCCTGCTCTGAGATCAAGCAGTAAATCTCTAGAGTGCCCTCTGGTGATAAAAAGAAATTATTGCGTCTTCTGATCAATTAAGAAGCACTGGTGGTATAGGGGGTTGGTTATGCATTGGGCAGCTGGCCACAAGGTCAGCAGTTCAAAGCCACCAGCTTGCTCTGGGAGAGAATGAGGAGGCTTTCAGCTCCCGTAAAGATTTACAGCCTCGAAAACCCAACATAAGCTCCTTGTCAGTTGGAATCAACTCAGTGTCAGTGGGTTTGGTTTCGGTTTAGTTGCCTTTGTTATTGTAAGGAAAAATGAAGTTCATGGAGCCCCCAGCTTTATAAATTGCTGTGACTTTGTCTGTCTTTCTAATACCGTTCGACGGTTGTGTCTGCGTTTTCTTCTCAGGACTGTGAAAAACCAGGAACGTCTTGCCTAAATGTGCACTGTAACCTTAGTGCACTTGCTAAAGAAGAAAGCCGTACTGTAGATGTTTCCATGCTTCTGAACACCGAAATATTGAAGAAGGTAAGTCTCGAGGAACTGTGCTCTCAGGGGGTACATTGGGAAGCATCTGAAATGATGTCCTTATCAGAATCTGACTTTCCCCCTTTTAAAAGTCTCCTGACTAGTGCCATTGGTGACTTGGCTGCCCAAGAGTGCCGAGGGGGAAATGCCAGGCCTTTGTTACTCAAAATGAGGTCTGAGGACCGGTAGGATCGGTGTCATCCGGGCACCTGTTAGCAATGTAGACTCTTGGGCTCCTCCCCAGATGTACAGAATCAGTATCTTCATTTTAATAAGAGCCCCAGGTATCTTATTTGTACATTTAAGTTGTTCTTAACTTTAGTTTGTATTGGGATTACCTGGAATTCTTGTTAAAGTACAAATTTCTGGGGTAGAGTCTGAGATTTTACATTTCTAGCAACCTCCCAAGTGATGATATTGCTGCCAGTCATCAGATAAGGGGTTGGCAGATGTTTTATTTTAGGGGCCTGGTAATAAATATTTGAAAATCTCTGTCATAACTACTCAGCTCTGTCATTGTAGCCCCAAGACAGCTGTAGAGTATACACAGACAAAGGGACATGATCGGTTTCCAGTGCAACTTTTTTTTTTGGAGGGACTGGTTCTTTATTTTTAAAAAAACTTGTCAGTTCAGTATCAAAACAGTTGCGCTATTGGCTTCTTTCTCACAGTCGTCCCCCAAAAGAGACCACACCACAGGAGAGTACAGTTGAAGCCCCTAAGCTGCAGGATGTATACTTGGCACACCTCACAGAAACCTCACCAAAAAAGGGGAACTGGGTAGGGCAAGGACTTTTAGGAGACGAGCACACTGCAGCATTGCAGAGAGAAATCAGCCAGATGGGGTGGCCAGTGTACCCCAGCCCCAAAGAAGCAAAATTTCAAAATCGTATAAAATAAATGTAAAAACCTCAAAACTTTGTATATAAGATATTCAAGATTTCTCCAGTACTAACTGATGCAGAGCACTTTGAGGTGGCACTTTGAGAGAAAGCAGTTTCAGATCCACAATAGGGTGACGAGATGAGTTTCCGATGGCTAGATCCGTGGCAAATCGTTTTCTGTTCTGTATTTTACAAAAGGAGGCCGGGGAGCAAATAAGTGGCCATCCAAGAGAGGGTCAAGGGGAGGAGTAGTGACAGGGCAGTAATGGGGTACTCCGTGTTGCATTCCGGTCAAGCAGAGTCTGGTCCAGCATCCTTTGTACACAGAGATGCTCCTCTTGGGTGCATTTCAGTTTATGTTCCAAATCATCAATTGTCTTTTCCAGCTTGGTTCCTGATCTCCCAGCAAACTTGGCATGGGTCTCTACCTCCTTGAGTTTATCAATAAGAAACTTTATCTCTTCCTCGTATTTGTCTTCTTTTTGAGAGTACTTTTCTTCAGCAGCCCTCAGACACTTCAGACTCTGGTCCATCAGCCTCATCTGCTCATCCGTCTCTCGGCAGTGGGATTCTGCCACCTCAGCTGGCTCCTCTGTGTGTTCCAAGTCCACCTTCAATAATCACCAACTTAACGAGTCACCTCCTCATACTTCCGATCGGCCTCTTCTGCAATGTGCTTAGCTTCCTTGAGCTGAATTTCCTGGAGTTTCATCTTTTCTTCATCTTTTAAGGCCTGGTTTTCAATAACTTGCAGACCTCTCTCACTCTCAGCAGCAGCTTTTTCTGCCTCATCACCCAGCTTTGGCAAGGCCGTGGCCAAGCGCTCCTGAGAGCTGTCCAACTCCTCTTCTACCAGCTGGATCCACTCAGCCTCAGTCTTTTCCCAGACCCATCTTTCTCTCTACCGCTTCCCGCTGTTCCCGCTGGAGGTGCTCGGTCCTCTCCTCAGCATCCTGGGCCTGCTGTTGCACAACCTGGATCTTGCGCTTCACCTTCTCGATGCTGGTGACCCTGGCCACGGTGCTTTTGCTCACACTGCAGTTCCTGCCTCCTCCGCTCAGCAGCCGCTTCTTACTCACCTCCAATGAAACTTATTTTTATATTGTCAATTGAGTTACGGTTTACAAACCGAACCATCAGTTTTACATTCAATAAATCATACATTTAATTTCAGATCAATGATTGCAGTCCCTTCCATGTAACGACAGTTATCCTACTTCCTCCCTGTGATTCTTACTTCCATTCCATCCTCCATAACCCTTCTGAACTGTGTCCTTAAGTAATTGCTGGCCATTTTATCCTGAATGGTTGACCATTCCATGGTGAGCATGCCTCACTAATTCTGTTGTTGCCCCCTATGGACCTATCTACTGCTTGGCTGAAAATTGAGCCACGAGGGTGAGTTCAGTTCTATACCTGACGGGTGGCCGACAGCCACAGTCTCGAGTTCCTCCAGTCTCTTTCTGACCAGTAAGCCCAGTCTCTTTTTATATACAATTTTGAGTTTTGTTCCACATTTTCACCCACTCTATGCAGGACCTTCTAATGGGATCGTTTCAGAACAGCTGGTAGTGGTACTTGGGCACCATCCAGGTCTTCTGGTCTAGGGATCATGTTCCAATAACACTTTAGTTACAAAACAAGCAAGGGGCCTGATTGGGCCTGTGGGTCTAGTTTGTGACCCCCGTGTTTGATAGATGTCACCATGTTTCAGGGAAGGATGACTTTTTTTTTTTTTAATGTTTTATTGTGAATTGTGTGATAGTTTACATGGGAGAACGTTAGTTTTACCCTCATCCTATCATATATCGTTTCATTGCCATGGTTACAGTCCCCTCCATGCATCATCAACCAACCAAAGGGTATACACTACAAGCCCACTCCCCAACACTACAAGCCCACTCCCCAGTCGTCAGCACACAGCCCCTCTCCCTCTCTGGGTCTAAAGTCCCCAACTGCTCCATCTCTCCACGTCATCGTCTCTGCCTCCATCTCAGGCATCACTGCTTCTCTGAGTAGGGTCCCGCTCTCCACTCTTCTCCATTGATGGTCCTAGGGACCTCCACTCCTAGGCTGAAAAGTTAATCACTCCCCTCCTTGCTACAAAACATCTACCTTTACATTTCCAACCCTCACAAGCAGTCCTGATAACAATTATTCACTATTGTATCACAAGAGACCCAACCGCATTTCATTTAATCAGCCATGCCTAGACAGATTGTATACTGCTCAGTGGAGATTCTACCTTCCTTCATGCCCTCTGGATCTAGGTTCCCTCTTGAAAGCTTGTAAGCTAGTCACTTCTTGCCTTTGTAGCCCCCTTTTTGGGTAGCAAATGTCCAAGTGGGAATGATCCTTGCTGTAAAGATTTGTTCCCTCTTTTGAGCTCCTGCATCCATAGGTGTAGGTCACGTTCATCAAATTGTATCAGATTATTCTTTTTTTCCTCTTCTTTCTTCTTTTGGTTGAGGTCTGATCATCTAGTCATTGAAGCCAGGTCAAGTGGGTATTATCTGCAAATGTGGGTGTTCTTGTGAATATGTCCTCTCTTCTTATCACCTAGACGCTTCACTCTCCACTCCAGTCCTCTGTGACTATGAAGGACAACTTATGAACTTGAGGTCACTCTGACATAATTGGTTTACCAAATATGGTTCATAAAAATTAAAAAAAAAAAAAAAGCTCAGTGAATTATAGTCCTTAAAGAATGGTACAGATTTACTATGATTTATTATTGATAAGAACTTTTTCAGGAATGAGAGTATGAAAGACCTCTTCCAAGAAGAGGCTATTTAAAACAATTATGTATGTAAAAAGAAACCAAGTATACTATTAACCGCAGAGAATCTATGTATTTTCCTTTGAAAGATTAACTGTAATAGTCCATCTAAACCTATTAATATGTGAGTACATACCCTTAGAAGTCGTCCCGTGGTTATTTTTTTAAATCAGGCCTGGTAGTAGCATGCTGACCTGAGAACATATCGCTTTGGGGATATGGGATGGTTTGGGCCACTTTCTGTCGATAGCTGTTACACCCCCTCATGCCCTTGGGAACCTGTGCCCAGTTCTGGTTTCCCTCGTTTGCTTTGGAAGAGAACTGGTTTGGGGAATAGTATGTTCCCATGGCAGTTCTTCCCTGTTATTCCTCGCCCTTTATGAAGGACGGTTTTGGGAGAGACCCAGAAATGAACATGCGCACCAGTGCCCATCCTACAGTCAGGAAGGGGGTGTCTGGTCTGGAAGTCCCTATCCTACCAGAAAGGTCTTCCTGATGTGGATCCCAGGTTAGATTGCAGGGACTAGGATTCCACATATCCATCCTGTCATCTTCTGACAAATGCATTTCCCTGGTCATACTTGTCACAGCCAACAGAGCCCTCATGGTAGCCTGTCACTCTGATTTCTCCTCTTGCCTCAACCCCAGGAGACTGCTACTTGAACTTCAGTTATTTGCGTTTAGTTAAAAGGCCTCAGAGCTTCCTTGTGCAAAGCTCTGTGGCTCTTTTCCTCTATATCTCCCTCTCTCAGTCACCAAAGGTGACCCTTTACCAAGGAATGTGCCCTCCTGACTGCTTTCCCCATGGGCCATCCAGCTCAATGGAACGCCACACAAAAAAAAGACAAAAGCCATCGGTGTCATGTGTGGGCATTGAGGGTCCTTCTCCAAGTGTGCTTTTAGCAGAAACACACAGGAGTTCCAGATGCAAAGGAGAGCTGACCTGGAATCCAGACAGAGCCCAGCTCTCCTGCTGTGCAAAGCTCATTTTGCTGTGCAAAATGTGGCTGCGCCCGAAGTCTGCCAGGACCTCCCGCAGGAGACAAAGATGGGGACTGCTCTGGAGCCGTCCTCCCTGAGGATGGGGCGAGTTGTAGGCCTTGTGGTTTGTCTGGGCTACATTTGTGTTTACTTTCCTTTTGACCCCAAGTTCTGGCCCCAGACAAGAGAATCTTAGGTTTCATTGTTTTAACTTTAAGATTTTCCTTGAAGAGTGGGATCTGGTTTTAAAAAACATCCGAGAATTCAGATGTTTGTTTTTTTTCCTGTAAGTTTTCTTCTTCCAGACCTTAAAACTTTCTTCTCTGAGTCTGTAACAACTGAGACCTGCCCTGGGCCGGGTACCCCATCTGCCCACCATTTAATGTTGGCACTACCACCATTCCCATCCCTGTGTTGTACTATTAACACCCAAGATGATGGTGTCAGTGATAATGGTTCATATACAAGACTGATAATACTCTAACACATCAAACCACAAATTTGCAAAATCTATTACAATTATTAATAGATTCTTTGTGTTCCAAACTCTTACTGCTTACCATGAAGCAGTTTCACTAGCTGCCAAGCTCCTTGAAACATTTAAAATAGCTTTTCTAGTTGTTCTTTAAAGAATCATAATCATACCTAACTCCTAGGTGAAGTATACAAAGCCAGGATCCCCAGGTGTTCACTCCAGGAAGGTTCTAGTGGTTTCTTTGGTGGAGACAAGCACAGGGTTCCTTGGGACTATTTTCTGTGTCCTCCAATTTCATATTTTGTGGTAGGTTTAGTCAGAAGTGGATCAAAGCTGGCATCTGAGCACAAACTTCCATGTATGCCGTGTATGTGGGTGCTCACACCATGAGGCACGTTACGGGTAGAGTCCTGGTCACCCACAGATACAATGCCCTTTGCCCCTGGTGCCTGCCCTGTGGTTCCACCACGGAAGCCAGGCAGCCTCTGCACACCCCCATCAGTGCATCACCATCTGTACTCTGGGCTCAAGGTTCTGACACATCTCTAAGCCATAGTTTTGTCAATCCCTCTCTCTTTCAAAATTCCTTCTCCATCCCTGCCTTGGAGCCATTTTCTGGTTATCTGAGCCCGTGGCTTTGAACCTTGAGCACATGGCAGGGCTTTTGATGGCCTTGGCTGATGTGTTCTTCCTGAATCTTAAATGCGCCCCCATTCTAGTTTCTTCTCCCCTTAACCCGGAAGTTGTTGTCAAGTCAGCTCTGACTCTTAGTGACTTGTCGTGTGTCAGAGTAGAACTGTGCTACCTGGGGTGTTAAGTGAGTTCAAGTAAGCTTGAAGTGCCCTCCTTTCAGTTAGTAGCCAAACATGTTAACCGTTTGCACCACATGGGAACCCCCTCTCTCTTTGCTATTGTTCTCAAGTACTGTCCAGTTGGTTTCGACTCATAGCAACCCTGTATGTGGTTTCTGAGGATTCGCTGGTGGATTTGAAGTGCTTTATTTCCCGTTTGTAATTTATCCACCCTGGGCTTCTCCCTTCACATCACACCATCAAATACTTTCTTTCAGTGTTGAATGGCTTTAACTCTAAAACAACTTCATTTAAAAGCAAAGGAAGAGTTAAAAACCAGACACAAAAACCACCTCACGCAGAGAGATTGAGGGTTGTGGTCAGGACAGAAAGATGCCTGGAAAATGTAAATCACATGCCTTCTGTGGAATGTCAAACAAACCTAGTTTTGTTGTTCACAATTAAGTAGCTTTACTTACTCTCAACTCTGTGAATATGTTAATATTGTTATTGTTGTTAAGTGCCATTTAGTTGGTTCTGATCCACGGTGACCCTGTGTAGGGTTTCCAAGGAGCAGTTGGTAAGCATGAACTACAAACGTTGTGGTTCAAACTGACTTTGCAGTCCAACGTATTAACTCCCAGCACCCACACCAGAACTCTGAATATGTCAGTATCAGTATCCAAATGTTTGACCATCAGTACTTGGAAACCACAAGACACAAGCTTCCATGTGTTGATGACTTCAAAAGTTGACAGTTTTTTTCTAATTCACCATGCTTTGAAAGAATTCTTAACAGAGAACCTAGAAGTCTCTGTTCTATATAGATACCCTTGAAGGTGCAGTTAACACACTCAGCTGGTAACCAAATGGTAGGTGGATCGAGTCTACTAAGAGGTACCTTGGAAGAAACACCTGTCAGTCTGACTCCCCAAAGTTGACCATTGAAAACCCTATGAGAATGAGGAACATGGCTCTACTGTGGCACACATAGGGTCACCATGAGTCAGACTTGAGTCTGTAGCAACTGGTGTATGTTTTATACATCCCAGGTGCCCGGGATGGATGGAGAGGTGTCAAGTCATAAAAGTTCTCTCTTCTTTTGGCTGATCTATATACAATCTGTGTTAACACATTGACTCTGTAATGAGAAGTACTGGACTGTGAACCACAAGGTCAGTGGGTCAATCCCACTAGTCACTTCATGAGCGGAAGATGAGGCCTTCTGCTCCTGCAAAGATTTACAGCCTCGGAAACCCTACATAGGGTCACTGTGAGTCTGAGCCAACTTGATGGCACTTAACAACAACAACAAACATGGGATCTTAACATTTTAGGTTTGCTTCATAGCTCAGAGTCCGTTCATTTTCACTTTGGGGAAAATCTTACAGCTAAGTTGTTTTGTTTCCTCTACAGGACAGTTCATCTGTCATCCAGTTTATGACCAGAGCCAAAGTGAAGGTGGATCCTGTCCTGAGGGTGGTGGAAATAGCCAATGGGAACCCAGAAGAGATGACGGTGAGTCAGTCACCTCTGGGACACCCCTTCTCAGAGCATGGGGGGTAAGGGAAGCCGGGTGACTTAGGTAGCTTGGGTGGGAATTTGAGAGTGAAAACAGTCTCCTGGCCAAGATGTCCGGTTTGTGGTGGGCCCAACAAGACTATGCCTGACTTGGCTTCCAGGTCCCCATTGGGAACGTCTGTGGTTTGCTGCTATTGCAGTAGCACCGTTCTTTAAGATGCCGTTGTGATGTGAAAGCTCCCTGCTGTGTACGACCAAAGGAACAATTATCTACAATTCCCCTGGACAGGACTTAGATTTCCATTCTGAAGCCAGGACTATTTTTATCTTTCTCAGACCTTTCCCTGAAACTATGTCTGGCCTTCCAGTCACATTGCTCCATGGGTAAACACTGGATGTTGCAAAACAACTTGTTTGAATAACTCGCAGAGGTCACATCCAAATAGCCAAGCCTTAGAAACTTCCCTTTCAGTCTCTACATACCCCTCTTCTCTTCCCCAAAATGCAGTTGGCACTTGTGCTTCAGACAACAGAGCGTATGGAAAACCATGAACTTGGATGTGGTGGGAGTGTGGGAGAGACCTAGAGAAAGTGGGGCTGTGGAATTGTATTGCCATTGATAGGTGTTCCTGTGGTTGGGGACAGGGGGGCTGTTTACCTTTTGTTTGACACCCACACTCTCAGATCCTGAGTAAATAGGAAGGAGAACAAGCAACATATAAAGTGCATTTGCCAAGGCGCGGTGCAGTGATGCTGTCTTTGTGCATCCTCTTCCCTGGAATTCACCCTCTCTCCAGGGATACTTTAACCTCTCCTGTCAGAGTCAATGCAGAATGATGCTGTGACAGATTTATAAAAGCAGGACGTTAGTCCAGGTTCATTACTTACCAAGAAAAGTCTTAGCTAGTTTTCTGCAATGAAGATGCCGCAAACCATTTGCTTTTGACTGCTAAGCAAAAGATTGACCATTCAAATCAACGCAGCAGTACCACAGAAGAAATGGTTGTTTCTGTCAGATTGTGTTGACAACCCTATGGAACAATTCTACTCGGAGTACATAGAGTCACCATCAGTGGAATTGATTCAGTGGCAACTAATAACAACTGAGCCAAGTAGGGTGAGAACATTCGGGACTTTTTAATGTCAGGGTGGGCATCAGCCGAAGCTCACTCTTATAAGACCCTGGTTGGGAAGGTTTCATATAGAAAATAAATCCTTAGGGAGTTTACTGATATTTCAGTCTTGCTCCTGTTTGTTGTTTTTTGTTTTGTTTGTGTGTGTGTGTTGTTGGGGTTTTATGTGGTGAGCATCAACTAGTGCAGAATGAATATGAAATCTCTCGAGTAGGTGAGGGACGTTAAAGCTGTAGCAAAAGCATGTCAAATGCAAACTCTTCTCCTGTCTAGTCACATCTAGAATTGTCCAAGAAGTCATTTTAATAACAAATATGGACTGGAATGAAATGGTACAATGCTGAGTCCTTCATTACTTAGAGTCAATTTTTCTGACAGGTCACATATTTGGAGCCGTTTAACTATGAATGCAAAACTTTACCAGGGAAGTAAGAGATGGAGGTGGTTTGCTGGTCATCATCCGAGCTCTAGTTTAAAATGTTTCTAAGATGAAATATCTGCCCAGGAGGAGTTTGGAATGTTCTGGTAAACCACAGTATTCCCAATTAAGAGCTATTGAAATAACAGGTTTCCCATAGATGAAATCCTTGTGTAGATGAAAAGTCTATATAACTGAGAATATTGCCTTCTATTAGGAGACTGGGCTATGGGATCCAGAAAAGCATCATGTAGCGTCCCATTTTTGAATCCTGAATTATCTGTGGTCTTCCAACACACCACTTCCATTAATTGCTGTTTCACTTTGGATATTATGGTGATATTTTCATTATTGAGAGTTATTTGGCAATATCTCTGTTTCGACTAATTTTTATATTCTGTGCTCCAGAGAAAAAATTAATATGAGAATCCCAGAATGCTCCTTTCTCCCTCGTTGCCATAACTTTTTAGCTGTTCAATCCACAAACTTAAAATGAAATTTCACAATTTGCTCCCAGTTTTCCTGGCAGAAAACAAAACAAAACAAAACAAAAAATCCATCTTCTCTAAGTGGGAAGCTTGACGCTTTGGGAACAAACATGTTCTTCCCTGCCTAGCACTCTGTCAACTGTCCATCTGACGGGAAATTTCCAGAGAGGCTAGTCATCAAATGTAACGCAGACAAAAATTCACAAGATTTCAGCTTAGGCACCAAATTGTTACAGCCTTGGAATGAACAGGAAATGTCCTTGCCACTGGTATCAAGCAGGGTGTGGGTGGGAGAAAGGAAACAATACCCATATTTTTTAGCCACATAAAATGTACATGGTTGTGAGAGTTTAACTGGCAGGCAAATCAAATTGTTTCCCTGTAGCGTGCCATGTCTTTATTTTTATGCTGTGGATTAAGTAGTACTTTACAGAGCACGTGAGCAAAAACCTAGAAATAGTAGATTCTTGAGGCATTTGCTTTGTCTCTTAGAGTCCTAGTGATTATGCTAGTACCATAGCATTATCATTGGATTGTTAACTGCAAGGTCAAGCAGTTCAAACCCACCAATAGCTACTCGGAAACCTTGTAAAGGGGTGCTATGAATTGGACCTGACTCGATGGTACTTAACAGCAACAACAACATTAATAAGTTTATTCAGGGTGCTTCCCAGGTAGGGTGCTAGCATGTGTCCAAGACCCACCATACCAAGATTACCTGGCTTTGTATCCAAACCTGAACAATCCAGGTGAGACTTCTGTGAGTACAGAATCAAGGGGCTAGTTGAGAGGTGCCAATAATCTGTTGTATTTCAAAGTGTATCCCCAATTTTTTCACTTTTCCGTGAGTGAGTTGGGGGAGGGATGAAGAGACGGGCAGAGAGTATTGCTTGATGGCCCACAAAAATCTTAAAGATTAAGAACAAGGGCAACATAGCTAATCATGCCCGGGAAAGCTCGCCCCCATAAAGAAAAGGAATTCACCTCAGAAAGGTACTTCAGGAAAAATATATGAGTAGGTTCCTAAAATGTTTGGATTCTGTTTGCATAACCTTAAAAAGGCATCAGAAGACATTAATGGGAGCTTTCTCTAGTCCCTAAATTTTCCACTGGGGCCTGCATAGACTCTGTAAGTAATCTGTATTTTAACGAGAACTACCAACATACTGAGTTATGCACTGGGCTGCTAACCTCAAGGTCAGCAGTTAGAATCCACCAGCTGCTCCATGGGAGAAAACTTGAGGCTTTCTGCTTCCATAAGAATCTACAACCTCAGAAACCATGTACAGGGTCACTGTGAGTCAGAACTGACTGGACAGCACTTAACAACAGCAACATGAGTGACATGGTCCATCCACAGATGACATTGCCCGGTGAATAAATAAGTTAGTGGTTGTGATTGGAGCTTGCTGCAGGGTAGGATCTTAGGTGCAAATAAGAAAGGCTGGCTCTTTGTCACTTCAGTAGCACTGGACTGGATTGGAAAACTATGTGACAGGAAGCCTGGAAAACAAGACTGAGATTGCAAGAGGAGCAGGAGGGGCCTGGGTCATAAACCAGAGCAGGTCACAGGAAGAGCCTAGTGTGGTGACCTGGTCACTTCAGCTGGCCCTGGACACACTTGTCCCTGGCTTCTTTTGGTCTCCTGCTCTGGAGTGGGGCAAGAATATCTCACCATGAGGCTAGGTTCCATTTCTTATACCCTGGCAGCTGGGGAACCTAAAGGAGAGCAGGTCACTGACATTTTCACCTGTTGTTGTGGGGAAGAAGAACCTTCCCTCTCCCAAGGTGCATAAAAGGAGGATTCTCCAGCACAGGAATGGGGCCCATGGCCGGGCTACTAAAAAGTGAGGACTGCCCCCTCCATTGTGCTTCTGTAATGTTGGAGGTCAGTGTCAGGCCAGCCAACCCCTGGATCAAGCTGACTTTTTTGGCAGCAGCTTGCTGGGTGAACTGCAATCTTCATGAGAGAACATGACAGTCTGTGTCCGATGAGGGCAGATTTTTTGCTTTCTTTTCAGAAATAATGTGCTGGAATGTGTAGTGCTCCTTTGATGGTTTGACACAGAAATGTTTGGGGTCCTTTTGCTTCTGCCACAGCAGCCATCTGTCCAGAGAGGCCTTCAGTTCACGCATGTCACACATGTGACTCTTTTTCCCTGCTCATGGGGAAGTATAGCAGCTGTACCAGTTACCGTTGAGTGGATTCTAACTCAGGGCTTCCCTGTGTGTGTCACAGGAGAACTGAGATCCGTAGTTGGTTCTTTGGAAATAGATCACCAAGCCTTCCTTCTAAGGTACCTCTAAGTAGACTTGAACTCCCAACCTTACAGTCAGGAGCCAAGTACAATAACCATTACACCCAGGGACTCTGCTGATAGGTGAGGGGAAAAATCGAAACCCACTGCCGTGGAGTCAGTTCTGACTCATAGCAACCCTGTATGAGGTTTCTGAGGGTGTAAATTTTTATGGCAGCATACAACCTCAACTTTCTCCCAAAAATGACTGCTGGGTTTGAAATGCCATCCTTGTAGTTAGCAGTTCAGTGCTTATCCTACAGTACCATTAAGATTCCTTGCTGACGAAAGGGTAACCTCTGATACTTTAGGAGGAGAAATCACATGCTCAAGCGCTCCCATTGGCTGAGCCAAGAATAATGCCCAGCACTCTTGACTCTCAGCCTAGTGGTCCTTTCTGCTCTCCTGTGGCCACTCAGTCACATTGGAAGGCACTGAGCTGCATGGACAAAATGGTCTGGACAGAGCAAAGGTATCCAGCCTGGAAGGAAATGGTCAGCTTGTTATAAAGTGTCTGCTAAAACGGCCCAGGTACCCGTGAAGTCCCACCATTGTCCAGTTGGAATCTGATTCTCCTCACCCCAATGTGAGCTCTCACTTCTCAGGGCAGAGCAGACCCCAGACCCAGACCTCATGATGGCAACCACACTTTCACTTGTGA